TGGACTATAATCTGATCTTGTGTGACTTCTGACCTTGTCCACCCCAGTTCAACACTGGCACCTCCACATCTCTTGTTTAAAGTTACGGTTTATCAGAGTAGCCTGACTTCTAGGTTTTACCTTACAAAACACCTTGTACATAGTTGAACAGATTGCCTGGATGGTTGAGGACTGGACTGAATTACTATTTTTGAGGTATTGCTGAATGGGCCAGTTTTTAAAGCAATACAAGTTTCTCACCAACATAAGTCTATTAATTTGTTATTTTCAGTCTAATTTTAATTCAATGGAAGCATTGTCACTCGGGATGAACAGTTATCCACATTATTGCTGGGCTGTCTTTGTGGTGGTATTCCTGTGCACTGGGTTGTTTTAGACTGGGATTTGTTCTGTATTTGTGATGTTTGAACTTGTGTAAGTACTTGGCCTGTTGAGTTGGACATAAAAGGTCCCATGGCACTGTTCACTGATATTGAACGGAGCCTTTGCAGGGCCTTGAATAACTTTATGCCTTAGCCAACAGCAACACATAGTTTAATTATTGATTTATCCTGTTACTACTTGTGGAATCCTGCTGCTGTGCAGAACAGCATTATGAAACTTCAAAAAGCAACTAATGATCTATGATTCACTTTGGGACACCCTGTTGATATGAAAATAGATTTATTGCAAATTCTTTATTCTTCTACTTTTTATTTACTCTTTCGATATCACAGAGGAAGGAGAAAACCAGCAATCAACCCCCCTGAAACAATCTAAATAACATAGACATAGATGAGGGACCATATACTGCAAAACTGTTTCTGAAACAAAAACAAAAATGTTTTGGAGAAACCATCTTAGCATCACGCTTGACAATACTATGATCACCCAATTAGGTTCTGTAAAGTATAAATATTAGATCAGTCCTAAATGTAATTGTTATAGAATTTACTATAATAGTAAGAGCTGTGCAAAACTCTGACATATTTGCCTACTAACTTGTTTTACGATTGTTGCAAAGGAACAAAGTTGAATGATGGGCCTCTCCGATATATGGAATGGGAAACGGAAGAGGGGCTGGCATTCGTTAAAAATGGATTCATTTATCGAAATGGCAGTTTGATTGTACCTGTCACTGGACAGTACTTTGTGTACTCTCAGGTTTACTTACGTGACAAAAACTGTTTGGAGAGCAATGAACTCATCACACATACAGTCAACAAAAGGACACAAATTGATTCAGCTCCTACGACACTAATCAGCAAGCGAATCCAGTGTCAACCGAATGTGGATCACTTATGGTTTCAAACAAACTATGTAGGAGGCACATTTGCATTGAACAAGGGGGATGAACTGTTTGCCCATATTTCTGATTTGACATTACTAGGTTTTGAAGAAAATAAAACATTCTTCGGAGCACTGTTACTATAAAACAAGACAAAAACCACATTATTAGGGCTATGACAATATAAAGGAAAACATTTTTATTATTCAAAAGCATTAAACAGTGTTATACAAGTTGTGTAATTGAAATTATTAGTGGTACAGTTTATTGTATATTCTAATATTTTTATACCATTTCAAATAAGTTCTATTCCTGTATGGTTTCTTGGTGATTGCCTGTTAATATATGGTGGACTGAAGCATTCAAAATGCCATGGAGAAGAGGGTGCTGAACTAAAATCCCTATTATAATTAATAAATGAAAAGCAAACTTGAAGAATGTGCTCATATTTACAACATACTTGAATTTGAATTGAAAGTGACTTGGTAATACTCCATTAGGCAACCACACTGAAATGAAATTGGATTCTTTTGAACCAATAAAAAAGTATTGTATTATAGCTGTAACTGTTGTTTGTTTTGTTTTAGCACTCTGTCTATAATTTTGGGTTAATGGAAGGGGATCATGTAAACTGTAGTGAAATTTGTCTAACAACATGTCTAGCTGATCATAGAATCCCTGCAGTGCGGAAACAGACCATTCAGCCCATTGAGTCTGCACCTTCGAAGAGCATCCCACCCTATCCCCGTAACCCCACATAATGGTATGATAAAGATGAAAGGGAGGTCTGTGTTACTTTGTTGGAGAGATGTAAAGAGACAATGGCAGCTGTGTCTGTGTTTACAATGGTTTGTCTGCTAAACTCTGAAGTTTCCCAAAGCTGTTAAGAATGTTAGGTTGTAAACAGTTCTGCTTTAAATTGACCATTTACTTCCAAGATAAAAGAGAGTTGCGAGTCTCAAATAGTTCATCAGTATTTCTAAGGATACAAAATTCTCTTCATTCACATTGCACTGAGAGGAGGAGGGTTTTTGTGATACCCCTGAAACGTGGAAACAAGGAGGATTCAGGACACAAGCAGGAGTTAGAGATTAGAAATCTATCTTCTCAGCACCAGTATGTAGGTTGGGACTTGTAGTTTGAAAGCAATTTAATCTATAGTTTATAAGTTGCTTGTAAAAACAGTGTTTGGTCAATAGGGCTTTTAGTCTTGTTGTGAAATAATTCTTTAAACCATGAAATCTGTACCATCCTTTCAGCTATCAATTGGGCTGCACTTCTTTTAACCATAATGATCTAATAGAGGTCATAATGGGTGTAGCTTAAGACAAAGTTTTCTTTAATATTTGTAGGCTTTGAAAGAAATGTATTTGACAGACATGTCGCCAGTGATGGATTCACAATGAATTTTGAGTCATTGGTTAAAATTTCCATTTTTCTTTGTTCACTGGCTTGGAAGTATTTATAGCTTAGAGGACAGTTAAGAATTAATCACGTTACTGTGAGCCTGGAGTCGCATGTAGGCTGGATCAGGTGACGACAGCAAATTTCCTTCCTTAAAGGGCATGAACGAACCTGATGTTTTGATGACAATTGTTGCATGGTTATCATTAGTTTAGTTTTTTTTAAATTCAGTTCAAATTTCACCATCTGCCAAGGTGTGATTTGAACATGTCCCCAGAACATTAATTTGGGGTTTTGGATTACAAACCTGATGATTTACCAATTACACCACCCACCTTCCTATTCCTTAAGATTTCCAATTCATAGTTATAGTCATTAGTTTGCATATTTCATGGTAAATTATGATTCAAATAATATTATTCTATATTAATATTACCTATTAAAAGCATGAAAACAATGGCAAACATGCTGACAAATATTTAAAATATTTCTGTATTGGCTGCCAAAAAAGCAGCCAAGTCAGACACTTGAAATGCTGTCTGAAATTAGGCCAGTTTCACTTTATTTGAGAATTTATTATGACATCTGGGTCTCAAATTTGGCAGATTATATTTCACATTCCTTAAATATCACAAACTGTTGTATGTAGAATATGGTTGATATTGGCAAGGTTGCAATATGCTGTTTAATCCTAATTGCTCAGTAAACGGGTTGTGAGCTGCAGGAGTCCAGATGTAGGTATATACCCACAGTGCTGTTCATAGAATCCCTACAGTGCAGAAGCAGGCCATTAGGCCCATCGGGTCCACACTAACTCTCCAAAGAGCATCTCACCCAGACTTATCTCCTACCTTATCCCTGTAACACTGCAATCCCTGTGGCTAATCCACATATCCCTGGACACTATGGGCAATTTAGCATGGCCAATACACCTAAACTGTATAACTTTGAACTGTGGGAGGATACCGGAGCACCCGTAGGAAATCCACACAGACACTGGGAGAATGTGCAAACTCCAGACAGAGAGGTGCCCGAGTGTGGAATCGAACCTGCCTTCCTGGCACTGTGAGGTAGCAGTGTTAACCACGGAGGCACCGTGCCACCTTTCTGGCAACAGAAATCCAGGATTTTGACCAGTGACTATGAAGTAACATAAATATACTCTCAGAAGGGAGAGGAGAATGCATAGAATATCCACCCATACATCTGTGTCCTCGTTCTAGGCAGTAGGGGTCACAAACTTCAAAGTGGTCTGGCCAAGTTACTGCAATATATTTTGTAAATGGTACACACTTCTGCCCCGAGTGGCTTTTGGGGCAAAGGTAGTAATGTAATGGATGGGATGGTACTCAGGTGGGTTGCTTTGTCCTAGGTAGTGATTGAGGTTCTTCAATATTTGTGGAGTTACACTCATTTAGGCAAGTGGGGAGTATTTCATCACATTCCTGACTTCTGCCTTGCAGATGGTGGACAGTTTTTTTGCTGTGTTAGGGACTGAATTACTTGTCGAAGAATTCTGAATATGAATACTCTGCCAATTTGGGAACTGGTCCTGCAGGCTGGCCACTGAATGGTTCCAAATTAAATTAATTCAGAGATAGTAAGAACTGCAGATTCTGGAGTCAGAGATAACACAGTGTGGAGCTGGAGGAACACAGCAAGCCCGGCAGCATCAGGGGAGCAGGAAAGTTGAGATTTCGAGCCGGAGACCCTTCTTCAGAACTGGGGAGGGGGAAGGGAGCTCAGAAATAAATAGAGAGAGGAGGGGTGGCGCTGGGGAAGGTAGGTGGGATGGTGATAGGTGAGTGCAGGTAGGGAGTGGTGGGGATTGGTCAGTGAACTGGGAGGAACAGATAGGTGGGAGAGAAGATGGACACGTTGTGACAGGTCAAGGAGGCGGGGATGAGAGGGAGGGTTGGTCATAGCTGGGGAGATTTTGAAGCTAGTAAAATCCACATTTAGGCCATTGGGCTGTGGGCTCCTGAGGTGGAATTAAGCAATTAAGGTATGCAAGCAAAGTCAATGGAAGATGCACCGATGCTAGAATCTGAAGAATGGCTTAGGTGGTGGACTTGTATTTCTGCTGATTGACCAGTAAACTGGCATTAACCATTTTTTTTTATAGGACCAGCCTGTTTTTAGATTTAATTAATTAAGCTTTGGGTAGATTAGTAAAGGGTGGACTACATCCCAGGCTTCTGAAGGACATAGCTGAGGAGGTGGTAGGAGAATTGGTAATGATATTTCAGGAATCATGAGTCAGGGAGGGATCCAGACACCTGGAAAATTGCTAATGTAACCCCTTGTTTAAGAAGGGAGGGAGGCAGAAAACTAGAAGGTACAGGCTGGTTAGTCAGACCTCAGTCATTAATAATAGATTCTAAAATCTTATCAATGATGAGATTGCAGAGTACCATGGCTGAGTCAGCATGGCATCATCAGGGGGAAGTCACGCCTGACAGCAAGTTAGACACAGGACAGCCAGAGGACACAATCTATTTGGATTTCTAGAAGGCCTCTGACAAGGTGTCATTCAGGAGGCTGCTAAATAAGATAAGAGCCCATGGTCAGTAGGGATAAACGGGTATTTTTCAGGATGGCAGCCAGTAACTAGTGGAGCTCTGCAGGGTCCATGTTAGGACCAAAACTATTCACAATATATATTAGCGATCTGGATGAAGGAACTGAGGGCATTGTTGCTAAGTTTGCAGATGATACAAAAATAGGTGGAGAGACATGTAATGTTGAGGAAGCTGGGAGGCTGCAGAAGGACTTGGACAGGCTTGGAGAGTGGGCAAAGAAGTGGCAGATGGAAAACAATGTGGGAGAGTGTGAGGTTATGCACTTTGGCATTTTCTAAATGGTAAAAAGGCTTTGGAATCTGAGGCACAAAGGGACTGAGGCGTTCTAGTTCAGGATTCTCTTAAGGTTAATATGCAGGTTCAGCTGGCAGTCAGGAAGGCAAATGCAATGTTAGCATTCATTTCAAGACGGCTCAAATACAACAGCAGAGATGTACTGCTGAGGCTGTATATGGCTCTGGTCAGACTGCATTTGGAATATTGTGAGCAGTTTTATGCCCTGTATCTAAGGAAGGATGTGCTGCCCTTGGAGGGGATCCAGAGGAGGTTTCCAAGAATCATCCCAGAAATGAAATGCTTGTCATATGAAGATTGGTTGTACTTGTGTTGGGTCTGTACTTGATGGAGTTTAGAAGGATGAGGGGGGAATCTGACTGAAACTTACAGAATACTGGGAAACCTGGATACAGAGGATGTGAAGATGATGTTTCCACACATAGGAGAGACTAGGACCCAAGGGCTCAGTCTCAGAGTGAAGGGACAACCCTTTAGAACTGAGATGAGGGGGAATTTCTTCAGCCAGAGAGTGGTTAATTTGTGAAACTCATTGCTGCAGAAGGGTGTGGAAGCCAAGTCATTGAGTGTATTTAAGACAGAGACACAAAGTTTCTTGATTAATAAGGGGATCAAGATTAATGGGGAGAAGGCAGGAGAATGGGGTTGAGATACATATCAGCCACTGTCGAATGACAGAGCAGACCTGATGGGCTGAAGGGCCTAATTCTGCTCCTATATCTTTGGTTTTATTGTGTGTTAGCTCCTTTAGAGTTTTTGAAAATTTGCCAGGCATGATTTCCCCCTCTTGAGAAGTCATGTCGAATCTGCTTAATTACATTATGTATTTCTAAATGCTCTGCTTTTATATCCTTTACAATCAAAATATGATTTTGTTCAGGCAAGTGCTCTCCAGTTTTTGAAATTACTTTGCTCCCTTGACCTTGATAGTTTTGAGGTCCATCAATTTCTCAAATCCACAAATCATAGCCTCTTCAAAATCCTTCTTAAACACCACTCCTCCACATCCTATCCAGTACCTTTACCCCATAATCTCTGAAATTTTTTTAAAAATAAAGAGATGGTTCACACTAAAACTCCAGTTTGAAGTTCTGAAGAAGGGTCACCAGACCCAAAACGTTAACTCTGATTTTTTCTTCACAGATGTTGCCAGACCTGCTGAGCTTTTCCAGCAACTTTGATTGATATGCAAGTGTCTGGTTCATACAATTGCAAGAACTACACTTAATTACAGGAAGTCAGGAATCGAGGTAAAGCCCAACAGCAGAAGACAGTACAG